AAAGTTGAGTTTTTAAAACATATCATTCTACTTCTAAAGTTGTTTTCGTGTACAAACTAACATACTTTTTATACGTTACACGCCATTCTCCAACTTTTATTTTACATTTATTTCAGTTGGTTCTGTCAAGGATTTTAAACCATTTACTTTTTTCAACTTTGTTACTTTGAAACATCCACGAATTATATATATTTTCCTGAGAGACTTCATTCCATTTCTATCAAATATTTTTTGTCCATATAACCTAAAGTTTTGCTTGTAGAATCTTATTGAAGTTGTTCTTTCACACAACTTTAAATGTTTGTATAATAAAATCCATGTTCACTATTTTGAACTACATAATATTATAACCGTTATGATAAATAATGCCTGAAAACAGTAGTTGAATTTTCAAAATACATGGACTTAATAATATCGCCTGCATAATAATTTCGGCTGCATAATAATAATAATAACGGTTTATTTATTATTATAAAACTTTTAGTACAAGTTTTCGACACAAAGCTGAGTGTGAGTTAATTTTTGTTATACTGCAACGCGAAATTTGTGCAGATTATAGATTTATATTGGGCAAAAAAAGGCTCTATGTGAGCGTAAATAGAAAATTAACTTGACTTATAAATTATGTTTAATGCCTGTTCAAAAATAAGATATATATGCATGTCAGCACTTATGAAGTTATTTGTAGTAATTATGTTCTAATTTGGAAACCAGTGTAGCGTGAGTTTGTGTGAATGATTGTTAGGGTTACTTATAGAAGGGTATAGAAAATGAAAAATATCATAAAAAGGATCATGAACATACCTCGTTATGATAATTCTATAACATTTGAAACGAAATTAAAAGTTGTATAGGTTAACACAAACAAGCATGCAATGTATATTCTGGGTTTGAATTAGTAATTCTTACAAGAATAAGCACCGTTCAATAATTTACACAAATAAGTTGGGGGGGGGGGTGATTGAACCCTCGCAGACTAAGAAAAGTCACTCAGTTTGGTCACTTACTCAGGTAGTGTAGAATCATCAATGTCGCCATTCAACAATGATTTTTAATTTACACGGTTTCTAATGTTACTCGACATTGTAAATACCAAAATACATAGTTTAAAGACGTATTTGGTCACTTACTTAGGTAGTGTAGAATCATCAATGTCGCCATTCAACAAACGTCTTTAAACTATGTATTTTGGTATTTACAATGTCGAGTAACATTAGAAACCGTGTAAATTAAAAATCACTTTAGTATGCTTAGAAACTTGGTACCTAAAAAAATATCATCTGTATTTGTTTCCTGTTGTTTTTTTTATGTATACTAACACATAAAACATTAGTGCCTTATGCTTTCTTGGTGAGGGGTGGGGGACTTTTTTTTTACATTTCATCTGTTAACTTTGATATCAGTGTAAATAGAAGACTCGAATCCATAATTTTTCCCATTGTTTTATTCCTGGAACAACCCAACCCCCTACCTTCATCAGATGTTTTTAAAATTTTCTAACATTGTTTATATCTGTTACGCATTATAGTGTATATTGATTATTCGATTTTTGTTTCGATATTCATTAAATATGTGGGTGGGTGTGCTTTGGTTTCCTACGTTATAGTAGCTTAAGTTTAAAAAAAAACATTTGATATTAATGGCTTATTAAATTGAAGAAAAACATATTTCGTAAAATTACCTTCTGCAACTACGGTTATAATTTATTTGTTCGTCATTAAAAATGGGGTATTTTTATGTTGTTATTTGTCAAATGTGCTGTTTCGTAGTTGAAAATCATATATGAATTGTTGACAGTTTGAAGAATCGTCAGCAATTCTTTTCAAAACATCAAATCATGTTATCAGTGCACTGGAAACTAGAGTTGTTTTTGTGTCGATGAACACGTGCATTTGGTAGTTCATTCTGTTCTAGTCTTAAAATGCTTTTCACAACCACTAACTCTTGGTTTAGCATGTCATAATTTCAGGATAGTGAGTTTATACATAATTTAACCTTTGAAAGGCAAACATTCAATTAATTTATATGTAGTTGTACAATTATTCTTGCTGAATAATTACAGAAAGCGTTTGTTGTCATTAAAGTCAAAAACGTAGAACAGTAGTCCAAGTTTCAAAATTAGGTCAGCACTACACACACTAGTAGTATGTTTCATAATAATAATTAAAGGTTCAGCGTAGTTGGCTGCGGGAAATTTGAATAGATATCCTTACTGAAAACTACGCACGCACTCAAAGTCAAGTTATTGTGATATCAACTGAAACTCAGCATTTAAAATTGGGTCAGTACAGAATATTGAAAATGTACAACTTTGTTCATAAGAATCCGGTAATTTCAGCCTTTGGAGTAAGAATAATATTGGCAAGTATACAACGTAATTGTGGCCATTTGTCATGGTGTAATTCCATGTATACACGCATTACAGTCTATTTTTGCATTTTGCATACGTATAATACTTATTGATAAACTTACAATGGATTTAAAATGTGTATGTACCAGTAATTGATCATTTTTTTACATGCACTTTTTATTTGCATGTGTGTGACTTGAAGATGTTGCTTTATTGTTGTACGTTGAAACACAGTAATGCAACTTTAATTTAATTTGTACAGCGTGTAATATGGAACTTAATAGTTCACACTGAGTAACAGAATAGCTGAGAACTACAGTTTAAAGGAATTTCGGCTCTCTTCAGCCAACTTAGGCTGAAGATAAAGTGTGGATTTCAGTTTATTATGATACGAGTTTCACTTACGAATGTGAGATGCTATATTTCATGTGGCAGCTTGTATCGCCCCAGGACTAAAAAACATGTGCTAGATGTAGGTAGTAAGCTAAGTAACTTAGTAAGTTTCAAACTCTCTTCTGAGGCTCTTTGTTTAAAAACATACAAAGCTTTGGCGGTGGGTGGTGATGACTAGCCGCCTTCCCTCTAGTCTTACACTGCTAAATTAGGGACGGCTAGCGCAGATAGCCCTCGTGTAGCTTTGCGCGAAATTCAAAAACAAACATACAAAGCTCACATAATCTAAAAATAATAGTAAGAAGAAAGATTATTATTCAGTCATTATCAAAAAGCTTAGTCGTAAGAAAAAAAAGTGTTCACTTCACTTGATGTATATTAATGTGAACAGTACGTGTAAATAAATGGAAGCAGTTTTGACCAAAACTTTAGGTTTAGAATTTAGGTGTGATTCTTACAATGTACTAGGCAAAGTAGCAAGCCTAGTTGATGGTGCATTTCTGTTTTTATTTTAGATTTAGCTGACAAGCCGGAAAGAAAACAATTTCTAGAGCGTTACATTGTTTGAACGCAACATATAGAAATGTACTGGTAGCATAAACCGGCCTTTGTTATTGATGCTGACATGAAATAAAATACATTTTGCTTTTCATCAAAACCGGCTCTGTAAGTTAAATACATTGTCTAATTTATTGCTGAGAAATAAAAATATGGCATTTTGAGTTGACACTCCAATCAAAAACAAGGAGTTGAGTATGGTTATCAGACAAGAGACAGTGTGTCAGTTAACAATATATACGTGATTATTATGTCCATGAGTTAACACTTCTAAGTTTTAAAAAATAAGAAAGAATAACTCAGCATCATTGTTAAGATTGTGAAAAAAAGTTAATTAAAGTTCGTATATGTACGTGATTGAAAAAAAAGTATTAATCATGATACTTTTACTCAGAAATTATTAATGTGCCCTTAAAAAGGGTTAGTTTTGTGTATTGTGGAAAATATTAATTTGAAGTACTGAATCAAATAATTCATTCTAAGTAGGCAGGTATAGAAATAATGAAATAAAATTACATTCACTCAAGGGAAAACTATCAGGAAGATTACATTCTCTCCTTTAAAGTTGCATTTAATAATTAATTGTTTTTTTATTTAATCAATGAAATATGGTCATTTTCATGGGTTGTAACTAAAGGAAAATGGATGGACCATGCATTTCCATTGGGAAAGCTATCTAAAAAAATGAAATTCCTTGGGAATACAGAAATGTAATATTTTGATACCTGGTAGGCAAAATTAAAATAGAAGCAACTTGTAACAGGAATCTTGGCATTGTTGTCAGTACATGAAGCACCATTCTCAAGATTGATAATTGTTCACTTTGAAGGAGTTCAAGTTTATTGAGAGGAATAGCAACAAGAAAACACAAAAGTCATAAGATACCATTCACAATTGTCATCATTAAAAAAAATTATTGAACATTGTTCCATAATCCCAAGACCAACCCATGCACCCTCTTTTATTGAACTTAAAAGTGTTGAAATAAAAGACTTGGTATGGATTGAGAAGAATGAAATAAATATCCCGTTAGTCACATTTATTAAAGAAGAATATTGGTAGGAAAGAGATAAAAATATATTAACTCTGTCAGCAATTTTTAGGCATTTGTTTTATATACCCACCTTCATTAAACATTGTTGAGTAGTTTTAATGATGACAATTTTGAATGGTCTCTAAAGTGTTTATAAAAATTAGATTTTTTTTAAATAAGTTTTGTTATTCAAAGTTATCATTGTAATAGAAAAGCTATTTTGTGACCTAATGTTATTACCAAGAAATTTCTGCATAATTTCCTTGTATCAGAAAAAAAAAAACTTCAAAATGTCCTACAGATGAATAGCTATAAAGAAAGCTGTTAATATTCTTTTGTCTAGTTCGTGCCATCAATAAAAAGAAGAGAGAGAAAAAAGTTTTGTTTTCACTTGCTAGAAAGACTAGATTAGAATTGTTTTGTCAATATATCAATTAAAGAACCAACATAATGGAATTAATGTCATAACATTATGCAAAATATTTTAGTAATGTATTAAAATGATCAACTGCTCCTTTAGATATGAGAACTATACATTGTGGGTTAACATAACAGATGAACTAGTGTTCCTAGTTATGTATTACAACTCTTTGGTATGGTTAAATTTTGGTTGTTATCTTAATTTTGAACTCTTGTAAGTCATAACAGTTTTTGCTTTGTTTCTAGGAGTGCCTAGCAGAAAAACTTCACTAGTGGAGCAGACATTCTGTGTATGGGGATTTTTGAATTGCCTCTTCTTCCATTGTCAAAATAACAGAAAGCAGGCTGATATAGTCTGATTTCTAGTGAAGTAAGTGTTGGGAAGAGTCCTTTGATGGGTGTGTAATATATATATTTTTTTAAATACAAGTAGTGCAATAGCATCAGTAAAAATTTAGACCTTGTAACTTGAATCAATAACAAATGCAATAAGCTACATGAAATATTTGCCACTATTCAACTTTTGCTTTTATAAATTATCTTCAAAATTCTTTGATATTATACAAAAAGTTATGTAAGTGAATAACAACTTAACTGTGATCATAATGATATTATTGTTGGACAGATTAGTGTTGTGTTATAGAAGGAAATCATATTTTTGGCAGGAATGATTTAAGAATTTTTGTCTTTTATTCTCTTAAACCCCTTTACAGCATTAAAAACTGAAAAAGGTCTTGTTAGTATGATGATAGAAGTTACAGATTAATTAATTCAAAGACAACATCTTCAAATAAAATTAATTTTATCATTAAATATTCATTTAAAACTACTATAAAATAGCTGTAGTTCTATAGTGTTGTTCAATGACCTCAGAAGAGTGAATCTCAAGAGGTTTTTTATGATGTACCAGAGCTTCAAGTTAATTCAATGAGGCTGTGCCTTTAAAGAGTTATCAAAAAATAAGTTTAATAAGATGTGTAACTTGTATATGTGCATACATTTAGTGAATAAATCAAAAAGAAAGAAACCACTTCAATACAGTTATGTGGTTTATACATCAATATTGAAAACTAGCCAAATTGGATAAATACATATGTTTGCTGTAATAGTATTAATTAAGGACATATGATGAATGTGATGACTGTCCATTAGGGTTATTCAGATATACTGCAAACATTAATAGTGAAGTTGCTATGGTAACACATTAAAAAGTTGCAGTGTTTTAAAAGTGCACTAAAATTTATAGTTTACAAAACTTGTTTAATTGGAAATGTGTTTTTTTTTCATTTTGAGTTATAAAATTAATTAAAAAATTTGCATTTCATAATTCCAATCAACTTTTGAAAGTGTTGAAGGTAAAACCATTAATGATGGCTTGCAGATACAAACTGTAATATATGTCATAGTATAGCAGAGTTCAATAGTTTGATCTTTTTTTTCTTTCTTTGAAGGAATGTGTTGAATAAAAATTGTTATATATTTGATTAATAATCAAAACTACAAATGAAATATATGGGTTTAAAACAAAAGTTGTTGGGTTTTTGTTCGCCAAAAACCTAATTATGGTTTTGTGTGATAAAAATATCATTGTATCAGTAGCAATTTAGAAAAATATGCTATAAAGTTAGTTTTTAAAAAAGCAGAACTTAGAAATTCCAAAATTGAAATGATATATTAAAGCTACAGTAATGTTAGGAAATATTTGTTTGTACGAAACTACTAACTCTAGACTTTGTTTATATACAATTTAACTTTTTTCAGAAGCCAATCAAGCTTGAAAAAAAAGTTATGTCAAAAGAATATATGTTAAATAAGGTGTAGCAATTTTATTCCTTCATTACAATGAATTAATGAAGCATTTATCTTTAAATGATAATATTTAATTATCACATGTACATGCTTTTACAGTACTGTATATTTCTGTACATCTTACAAAATAGATTTTGCACTCTGATACTTACTAGATGATTTATTAATATTAGCTTCTGATCAAAGAAGTGATCTACATAGATCATAACATGGTAATGAATATAGCTAATTTGATATGTTCTTACTTATAATTATTATAATGTACTATTTCATCAGTAGTCACTCTTTTGTAATTATACAGTTTTGGTTTTTTAATTCTACAAAGAACAAATTAAAGCTCAATGTTGATGTTACAGTGTTTGTTCTTATGTCAATAGTTTATTTGTATAAAATTTTATTTTAGCACTTTTTGATGATGGCCCAGTGGCATAAATAGACTTAGATTAAAACTGTATGTCGGGTTGATTCCTGTTTAAATGAAGGTAAATGTTAAACATACCAGACATTAACTGATAAATATATGTCTCTAGTCTTTCATCAGTTCATGCATGATATGATCATACATTTAAATTACTGTATCTTCCTATTTTCAGTCTATTTCCAAGGGAAAGAAATGTTTTTATGTTAAATGGTATTAAGTTTAGCAAGCTGATAATGTTGGTACTTTGCCATGAACTTATTTTTAATGTTTGCACAAAAGTTCCATTAAAGCATATTTCAGTCCTTAGGATTTCGAGCTGTGTTATAAATAGTGGATTTATGTTTTTAGGACATTGCATAATTTTTTGGCTGAGAAATAATCAGAAATATAGGCAGAAGCTGCTCAAGTTGAAATTCCAGTGTACATAAAACCTCTGGAGGTTGCACATATGGACAAGAAGAAGCCTCTTAAGAGACCCCGAATGGATAACCCATCAAGTAGGTCATATGACATAATAGGTATTAAAAATAAAGAAATAATTATTGTTATTAATCCTTACCTCTAAAAATCTAGTTTGTAAAGGACTTAATTACAATTCACTTGTTTGATCTGGTTCACCTCATAATTGTTGTTGATGGTATAAATAGTGCCAATACTACTACAATGTTTGTCATATCCCAGCTGACCTCATCAAACTGATTAGTGCTGGTATTGTGCAAAAGACCTCACTGGCTCTGGATATGGCAGATGTAGTGTGGTTGATATTTTAAGTATTCTTCTTTACTTTCATTCATAAGTTCTTTGAATGATGAAAAGAACCACCAGTAAAGACTGTGTAACTTAAGATATGTAAAAGTATCTATTAAGCTTATTTGATAGTGATATCGAAAAGCTTGTATTTTGTTTTGTGGATAGAACATTCAGTAATTATCTCAGAAAAATTCTTAATTATTAAAAGATAATTTAAAAAGTAAAGATTATATTGCCTGAATTTAATTGAAATTGAATTGTAAATTTGAGAAAAACAAGATTTGTTTGAAGCTTTTTTTTTGAAAAATTATTATTCTTACTAAGTGGATTAGTTTGGTAAAGTGAACGTTAGGTTTTAAGGGACAATTATTTTTAGTTAAGAACAGATAAAGAAAAAACATGTAGGCATGAAGAGGTTATTTGATACTTGCACATGCATGATTTGGGTGAATCTGTGATAGTCAACATAGTGTGTGATTTATCATAACTGAGGCTACAACGTACATGTCTGACCCAACCATCTGTCCAGCACTTATGCCCCCTTTAGCCTCCAGAAAATTATTCAAGCTTAATAGGGGGGGGGGGGCACATGGGAGGTCTATCTGATGTGGGCTTATGGCAAACTGGTTGTAATATATTGCTTAGAAAGTTAGTTTTATCTAAAAAATTTTATATAAGTGCATTGAAAAAAGCAACATAAATTAACCTAAAATGGAGACAAGCAATTTGTGTTTCCTTTTTTTTTTATCTGATTTCTTGATAATACATGTAAGGTCTGGCATGGCCTAGTGATCAGGGCACTTGAATCTTAACCTGAATATTGTAGGTTTGAATCCCATCTCCAAACAAACTTTTAGCCATGGGAGCATTATAACGTGATGGTCAATCCATCTGTTTGTGATAAAGAATAACAAAAGAGTTGTGGGTAGTATTGTCTAGCTGCTTGCTATCTAGTCTATCACTTCAAAATTTGTGATGGCTATTGCAGATAGCCCTTGAGTAGCTTTTCACAGAATTCAAAACAAACAAACAAAATAATACTGTGGAAAAAATTATTTTTTGGTGTCATTTTTTATTTAGTTTACATGTATTAAGAAATGTTTGCTGTTTTTTACTCTTAGAAAATGGTTTGGGTATAATGTAAATTAAATCTTAAAGTTGCTTTTAAATCTAACTTGTTTCTTCTGATTATTATTTTTATGTTTTAAGAACTACTAATCTGTAAATGATTTGCAGTAATTGGGCGTATTTTATTCTAACATAAGTCTTATTTCCTACTAAAATTACTTAATAACAACTTAAATCATTAATAAAAACAACTAAATTTTTTCATGTCCAGAAGTATGTGTTTCTAAGTTGTGCATGTGGTTTTGTTGTTTCAATATAAAAAATTTCAACAGTTGGAATTCGTGGCCCAATAGCGAATGGCCCTCTACATTCTCGCCCTCTTGTTGCATTACTTGATGGTCGAGACTGTTCTGTTGAGATGCCAATCCTTAAAGATGTAGCTACTGTTGCCTTTTGTGATGCTCAATCCACCCAAGAAATCCATGAAAAGGTAAGAATTACAAAAAAATCGTATTAAATATTTCAAAAAGAGGAAAGTGTGAAAATAGTTTATATAGTCAGAAATTTAAAACTTTTTTATTGTTGATGTTATGGTACTGTAAAGGAAGCCATTACAAACTGCTTTGTCATAAGTCTATAAATTTGGAAGAGAGTTAAGAGATCATTTGTCAAAAGAAAAAAACAAATAACATACTATTTGAGTTTCCCTGAAATATTTAATTTTCAGAATTATAAAATTTTCTGTTTAGAGAAATCTGGTGCTCTATTTGACTAAACATAGGCAAAGTTTTGATTACTTAGTATGCAGTTAGTAGTAGTAAATATTATAGCTGAGTGATTAATTGATATAATCGGTTAATATAATGAAAATTGGTGTTTCATATTATTACTGTTCTTGATTATTCTAACTATCCATATAATTAGAATATTGCCATTATGATTTATCATTGTTATCTTTGATCAGTTCAAGGTTAAGCTTGATCAATTGTCACATGTCATTGAAATAATCAGCTAATTAAAATAAGACCAACAATTAATTGGTTATTAAATTGTAATAATTGCCCAGCCCTAGTACATATATTTTTTTACTTTGGTGGTGGTCATGAAACTAAATTAAAAAGTTACTATTTCATGAAAACATACTTGCCTGTAAGTGTTATTGTGTTATTTTTTTACGTTCCTTTTAGCTAATTCTTTTTGAATTTTCAATCAGAATTGTGTAAAATTAATATTTTGGATCTCAAACACTTAAAATTTACATATTGATAAAAAACCCACAAGAACTGAACTTTTTTAAATTGTGAGTGAATTATTACATACAGTTTTAAAAATTAAATATGGACTTTCAATATTACACAAAATTACTGGTTTATATTAGTAAGCATATATTTCAGAATTTAGAAAAGCAACCTTATATTCAATTTTTAGTCTGACTAAAACTTACTTTTGTTTTTAGAATAATTTGCCCTGTAGTACCATAGACTGGTATTCAACAGTGTAAATATATAGTTGTTGGCATCTTGACCATTACAAACACAGTTATTGTAGATGATGGAGCTAATCAGTCATGCTGTAAATTATATAATTTTCCATGAAAAAGATTAGGTAATGAAACATAACGAAATGTAGACCATTAGTTTTATGTCACATTTGTGTGTAATTTTAAAAACTAACTATCTGTTTAAAGTAATGATTTTTATTTTCCAGGTGTTAAATGAAGCTGTTGGTGGACTAATGTGGCACACAATTACTTTGTCTAAAGAAGATCTAGAAAAATTTAAGGCTCTTCGAATTATTGTTCGCATTGGTTCAGGAGTTGACAATATTGATGTTAAAGCAGCTGGAGATTTAGGTAATGTTCTAAAAAATTATATACAATTTTGTTGTCAATCTGACTTCAGTCTTACTTTTTTTTTTCTTTATCTACTGTTTTATTCATTACTAGAGTGCAGTAAAAAGTGATACATGTTAGTAATGTCTTCAATAGTTCTTATTGAATCTTTTTAATACTTATTGTCTTAATGGCATAACAAACTTTGCAAGTAATGTATGTTTGATTATAGGAGAAACTAAAAACACCAGTAATTAAATTATGAGTTCTGTGCAGACTCTGGTTAAGCCATTATGCTATTAATCATTATTTTGATTTTGAAATAATTTTAACAGACAAATCAAAATTACTTTTATTCTTCTAGAAAGTACCAGTCAAAGACGTTTTAGTGATTAAGTTTTATTGGTGGGAGTGGGAAAGGAATCCCAAAAGTTTGTAGCAATAATTATATTGGACCCCAAAAATAACTATCTCTTACCTAAAAATAAATAGGCATCAATCAGTACAATTTTGTTGCACACTTTTAGAAATCCAAAGTTTTAAGCAAATTATTTATAAAAATTTATAGTAATAAAAAAGTAATTGTTGTTTAAGACTCCATAACATGGGTATTTATATTGATTAAATAGATTGTGTGGACATTCACTGCATTAAATTTTATCTTTTAATGTGAGCTTTCAGCCCTTTTGCCTTCATCAGGGCTATAAGAGCCAAAACCCATAATAGACAAAAAAAAAATAGAATGATGCAATGAATGTCCATGAAAGTTATTTAAACTGTAACAAAAGATGTCACATTTGAACCTAATTTACAAAAGTACAAATAAAATTTCATATTTGGAAGCTAGAAACAAATATCCATATGTTTAGAATTATAGGAAAATTGCACTAAACCTCTCAAGCTATCATTGAAAGTGACAAGTTGTAGTTGAATCTGTGGTTAGTTTGCACATTTGTTTTAGTCATTGAAGATTTATGAAAATAATTTGTATCAAAAAAGTATTAATTTTATATACTGGCCTTTACATGCTTTATAGGGCATTTGGTTCCATTTCAGGAATTGTAAACTTCTTCCATTTCAGGGTTTCTAAGCCATTTTGTTGCTTCAATGAAAAATATTAGTAGCTGCTATTTTTAAATTTTCTTTTATACACTAGGATTTCTCACCTGTTCTTACTTTGAATTTGCATATGTAGTCAACAGGTAAATATTTTGATTTATCACTTAACAGTTTCCTCATAATAGTGTAAGATTTAAAGTAATATAGGTATTTTACATGGTGAGGCAATGCAATCTCAAGGTCAAATCTGGATGGCCCATTAAGCTAATTTATGTCTTAAAATATTTTGTGTTATTGACTCTTCATATTTTCATTTGTACTTTTCTAATGTTTTTTGGGCTTTCACTAATTTTAATCTGAAAATGTAAATATCTTTCAGGAATAGCAGTTTGTAGTGTTCCAGGCTATAGTGTAGAAGAAGTGGCTGACACAACATTGTGCCTAATTTTAAACCTTTATCGGAGAACATATTGGTTAGCCAACATGGTTCGAGAAGGGAAGAAATTCCAGGGTCCAGAACAAGTCAGAGAGGCTGCCCAAGGATGTGCACGGATTCGAGGAGATACACTTGGAATTGTTGGACTTGGTAATGCATTTTATTTATTATAATATGAGAAAAATGTCCCCAATATATCTCACTACCAGCTCGTATGAAGAATTCTAGAATTCAATATCACCAAAGTACTTACTACTTGTAGTACAGGAGTCACTTTTAGTTATACATACAAATACATAATACATAAATACAAATAAATTATTGTATAATTTGGTTATGAGATAAAATGTTGTACCAGCTATTCATTGTAGTTGTTGGCAATTTTTGTATAAAGATATTAAAGAGTTTTGAGTTCTATAGTCTTGGGATTATTTATTTACATGCACACAGGCCGTGTTGGCACAGCTGTAGCCTTGAGAGCTAAGGTGTTTGGTTTCAATGTCATTTTCTATGACCCTTACCTTCCTGATGGAACAGACAGAGCACTAGGCCTGAACAGAGTGTATACACTCCAAGAACTGTTGTTTCAGAGTGACTGTGTATCCCTGCATTGTACACTAAATGAGCACAACCATCATCTAATCAATGAATATACTATTAAACAGATGAGGCCAGGTAAGAATCTTGTTGCCTAATATTTAAGACAACTAATAACTTGATTTCCACTATATATATATATGTATTAAATGTGTGGTGATACAGTGATATGATACATGTATCGTGAAGTCGTGATACAATTGTAACCATATATTATCCAAAACGATACGGTTTATGTATCTTCACAAAATTTGGCAAGCTTTCAGCAAACAGTCTTTTGTACAGAAAAAAATCATAATTTCTGATAAAGTATTTTTGCAAAAAATTAATGATTCAATAAATGAAGATGAGTATTGAGTACTACATGTTGTCTTCATTTCTTTTATCAAAAACATTACATGCAAACTAACATAACAAATTAACAATAACAAAATAGACAGACAGATATTAACTTTTTTTTATTTTACTTCTTTTGCCAGCTGCCATTTTGTTGATCAAACCTGAGAATTTGAAAAAGTACTGTAAAGTGTGAAGTACTTAAATAAGACAATGTTAGTAATATAGATAATAAATTATAGACAAGACTGTTAAACCTTGTAACAAACTGTTAGTAAAACTTTTGTATCTATATATGTATTGTATCGCAGCATCAATATCTAGATAAGCATTGTATCGACTACTATGATGAAGTACATACCCCTAATGTGTATATATGTATGTGTGTGTGTGTGTGTGTGATTAAAGCAACCAGAAGTATTAATGTTTTTTGGTTTTTTATATAACTGGTAATTTGGATTTTATGTAGTTGTTCAGGAGTCTTAAGCCAGAGCTCCTCAACTGTTTTTAAGAGGGCCATTTTGGAAAAAGTTAGGAGTACATGGGCCAGTTATTTTACATTGCACATTTTTAAGTAACATAATAAATATTATATAAAGTAATGTTAGTATATTGAACAAATTTCTTTATATAAAGAGTACTTTAATATCAGAACAATGTAAGTTAGGAGTATGCAGGGCAGATATATTTTATGCTATACATTTTAAGCGACATAATAAATATTATTTAAAGTATTTTTAATATATTAAACAAATTTAACTATACAAATAGTGTTTTAATAAAAGAACAGTGTAACATTTGAGTATCATTACAAGCATGTCTGTAGGACAGTGCATACTTGTATTATTTTTCATAATAAAATTATTATACATTTTAATAAGGACATGTGCATCACTATAATGATCATAAAAAGATTTTGTACATCATTCTCACAAGTTTTTTAAGATGGTGCTGTTTTTTTCCCATATTTCGTTATTTTTCATAATTCTTTTTGCTGATTGTCAGTGGGAAACTAGGTTGTCCCATGTGGCCCACAAGCTGCCATTAGAAGAGCCCTGCCCTAAGTCAAACAAATGTGTCAGAACATTTCCTGACCTTTTTTTTTCATTTATCTTTGTAAATAAGCATTCAACTTTCTCTTTTCTATTTTTCTAATTCAGCAGATTTTTGACATTGGTGTCAATAAATTTTTGTACTTGAAATGCTTTTTATTTTATTTTTCAAATCAAATGATGAACACTTCAGTTTAGAAGAAAATCTTGTCATAATGCTGTTACAAGAAAACTATACTAATGTTGGTGGAGAAGGTATTGAATTAACAGTTCTTGCAATATATACTGGAACTGTTCTAAACAATGTTTAACATTTGAAGATTTTCTAGCTTTGATGTTCTCAGTCATACTTTCAACTGTTCATTAGACATAAGACCTTTTTTATTACTGTAGTAAATATAATTTCTGCCTTGCCATATTATACATTTTAATAATATTTTAATGGGGGGGGGGTTATAGCAATCTGGTCCGTCCATGTTTCTGCGCATGTATATCGAAACTAATAGACCAATGTACACAAAAATCTACACAATATGGGAAGTCAGTATGGGACAGTCCTTCTCAAATTTGATCTGAATTCTTGATCACTTTGAAGCATTTTTTATAATGGGGAGATAAAGCATTTTCACAGTTTTGGGTTAATAACTCTTTAAAGTGTGATTGGGTTTATACCCAATTTCATGGACACATCAAGGTTGAGACTCTTCATCACACTACAAAAAATGATCTGGTTCATCGATCATTCTGGATCTGAGAAGGACTTTCTGTGTTTTCGAAGGTGAAATTTGACGTTATCCAATATACATGCATGTAGTCTCGAAAAGGAGAGGTGTGGTGAGGGTATGCAGTCTCTCTGATTGCTCTTGATTTTTAATAGTCATTGTGCTGTTAGCTTTTATTCACTAACTCAGGAGGCTTTTTGTTTGTTTAGTATAACATAACCATGTTTTTTATCCTTGATTTGATTGTTATTGCATTTACAGAGTAAATTCAGAGCCTGTTTTTTGGTTAGTAGCATGTAGAATTTGTTGTTAATTCATTATACTGTATATTTTAATATCAGTTTTAAAACTTCCATCTATATTTTACAGTAAGTTGTAAACCATTATTCATACAGGAGAGTATAGACGTTTTGTTGTTCACACAGTATACTGTTTTTTTGTTGTATACTTTGTAAACCTTTTTGGTCATTAAATTACTTGATTTTCATCCTACACACTAAGAATGTTGTTTTATTATTTCATTATACTTTTGTGCAGCACATATATATATATATATATATATATCAAGTACATGTATTTTTGTTTAATTACTGTAATACAAGTTTCATATTTTTCACTACTTTTGATGAAATTATTTGGTTAGCTTTTAAACTGTAGTTTTTCATAACTTTACCAAAAAAATTTATGACTAGTAAAACAACCAAAAGTTAAACAGCATCGCTGTTTTCTGTTTTAGTAGCTTGCAATTTTTTAATCGTCTTTTGTTATATTTTTCCCCAACTTCAGAAAATAAAAATCATTTAAATATAACTAATGGAGACGTATCAAATACTGTGGGGAAATGAGAAATGTAAATACAATGTTTTTTGTATGCAACTGAAATGTAACATCTTCACTATACATAGGTGCTTTCCTAGTTAACACTGCCAGAGGAGGATTAGTGGATGAAAATGCCTTAGCTTTAGCCCTCAAGGATGGCAGGATCCGTGCCGCTGCTTTAGATGTCCAGGAAAATGAACATTATAGTATTCATGCTGGTAAGTGAAAGATGTATAAATACAGTTTATTAAGAACTGATAACTGACTTCACTTTCACTTATTTCCATTTCTGTTTAGCCTATGATGTTTCAACAAATGAAAGAACATTTCAGTGGCAAGAATGCTATACAGTATTAAAGATTGAATTTATTCCAGTCTTATTCAACTAACATTTATATTACATGTATGATTTCTTTATTGTTTTGCAAGGTTGGTGTTGACTATATTATAGTTTGTTCCAGTACAAAACATTTAAAATGCTATGAAGTGAATGTCTTACCTTAAATTAGAATGAGAAGTTCCTTGAAGTACATGCTTTGTTTCTCATGTTGAATTATGTTAATTAATAGTTCATTCAGTCTTTCAGGTACTATAATTGTTATATCTCTGTGTACCATTTGAATATGTTTGCTTATATGACTGTTTTTTAAGAAAAAAGCTAGGGATTCTGTATGTGTTAAGACTGATGTAATTTAATAAAATGTCTTAGACCATGTTGTTTCAAGTTTTTCAAAAAAATATTATGCATTATCAGCAAACATGCTATCAGGAACATGTTTGTGTACAGGATTCATTGGGAAAGCCAAAATAGCAAAAATTTACCTTAGTTTCATATGAGCAGTAAAGGAAAAATTTTGCTATTTAGATCACTAACCTTGAAAGAAATGTTAAACTAGTTGAATATGCACAGGAAATTTCTGAAAACTGAGAAATAGTTTCAAACATAAGGATTTTTTTTTAAGTGTAACAACTTAGAAATAATTATTCATCGCAAGTAATGGGTAACATATATGTTAGCTCTCTTCACTTAGGCACTGGCTGGCCCTGTAGTTTTTATGAATAGATCAAACTAATAAAATGTTTAAAAACCATCTGAATTGTGTGTGTGTATATATATATATATATATATATCACATGTTAGAAACTGTAAAGTGTAAGCCATCGAAGTTAAAGTGTTAAGCTTAGCATTTAATGTTCTTCATATTTTTTTATAATAGTAAAACATGTATGAAATATTAACATAAAAATCACTTTAGTGATCATATTTCTTTTTAGTTAACGTGGAATAGAATGTATGACCTGAATTCTAACAAAATTAATAATTTTCATTATTAGAAAACACAAAGTTTTCCTCCATGTTTATTAATATTTACCTTTCTAGGTCCATTAAAGGATGTCACAAACTTGATATGTACACCACACGCAGCATGGTACAGCGATGCCAGTTCAACAGAACTGCGAGAAATGGCTGCAGCTGAAATAAGAAGAGCAATTGTGGGCCAAATCCCTGATTCATTACGCAATTGTATCAACAAAGAATATTTAAACACAAATGGTTGTGGAGAGAATATGAATGGAGCTACTGCTTACAACTACAATCCTATGGGTGTACCCCATTCTACAACACTGGAGCCTTTATCTACAACCCCATCAATTTCAACTCCTCACTCTACACTTCAGGACACCTCAAATCACATGACCTCCAAGCCTGAAAGTTCAGAAGTCCATTAGTGTCTGTGTATATCAATCAGAACTTCTTTAATCAAAAAACTGTCTGGCCATTTGATAAATTATGACTGGTGTTTTTGATGAAAACATTTCCCCATTATGTTAATGTCTCTAAAACCCAATTGACGATAGCCATGTTTTTCTCTGTAGAAAAATATTTGCATTTCTGGTAATGCCTGAGAGTCTGTCCTACTTTGTGAAACTTAGCAAGAAAGCTGATGATCTACTGTCCATTTTGGTATGAGACTTTCAAGGATACGTACTTGAGATTCTTTTCAAGTTAAATCAAGAAAGAAGCTTTCACCATCTATAATGAGATTCATTTACTACAGAAAACATTACCTCACAAACTTTGACTTAATATGGTTATGTCATTCTTTCTTGGGCTAGCTTATTTTTATAATACAGCTTATGTAACCTTTTGTTGTCAACTTTGCTTCTGGAATAAAAAGGATACAAAAATATAACAAAGGCCAAACAGTTCAAATATGAAGGTGATCAGAACAATGACTATTGTTACCAACACTGTTTGAAAAGATAAATAAAACGAAATCTGTTTGTTGGCAATACATCTTAAACCTTGTGAGTCATAAGTTTAGTTAGTTTTATCCAACATTGAAGATTTTGAATATTTGGGTCAGGTTTTATTTTTAATTGATAAGATGTACTCTGGCTGGTTCACTGAGGCAGTAAAACCTCTGTTTACATACATATGGATATACAAAGGCACTGGTTAATGAGATCACAATTTTAGACCAACATCTGAAGTAGATGTGCAGATTTTTCCATTTTTGGTAGACATTTTATAAATTCAGTACTGTAGATGATGCTACTAATCCTACATAATTATCGTGTTGTTAAATTGAAATGTGAAACTAACTGTAAACTTACTCTTTTTCTTTTTTTTTTTTTCTATTATCATTTTTATGCATAGTGTAGTCTGTAATTTCTTCATTATATTTTCTTTCCCTTTTTATATAACATTGCACTGTGTGTGTAGAAAACTATGCTTCCTGATTCATTACATTGTATGTTGTGTAGTTTTAAGTGGATTAAAATGCAAGGAATACATATCTTAAAACAAGCATTCCATTTTTAGATAAGTAGTTTTTTGTTTTGTAGGTGATTAAAAACAAATTTCATATAGAAAACAATGCTAGTTATTTCACTGGACTTGGCTTAATGTTGTCCTATTAATGTAGCATTGACAAAAATTCTTCCTTCAAGGTACGTATGTATAGTGCCTCTAACTCTTATCATTTTAATGTTGTCACAGGGTTTTAAGTATCAATATTTTCATAATGACATACTAATTACAAAAAATGGAGTAAATCGAATTATATACAGATGTGAAACAATATTACAGGATGTCACTGGTTCTCTCAGTGGGTCATTAGATCTTCATCCGTACTTAATGATTGTTTATCATTTTATGTACGTTAGAAGATAAATGAAGTGTTGAAGATAACTGTCTGAATGAACTTATTTGACTGGGCTGGTCTAGACTGTAGTGGCAGTTGTTACTTTTATCATGTTATGAATTCATCTTGTAATGTGTGAAATCACTTTAGTTTCTGTTTCTTTGTTATTATGGTGAGAGTGAACAATAAATTTATCACTTCTATATCACGTTTTTGTCTTTGTTAATAGTCAAATAGACAGAAAAACAATACAAGTAATATATATATAATGAGTTTTCAGTGTCTGAAACCTGGCAAAAGTAGCAAATCAATTAGCAGGCATATTTTTAATGTTTATGATTTGCCTTAATTTTCAAAAGAATATCTGTACAAACCACAGATTACTCTATAATTATATATTCATAACATCCTTGATTTATTTTGTTCACTTAAACTGTACAGCAGCTTATTTATAGCAGTTTTTTTGTTAAATAGCACAGAGAAAGAAGTATTTAGCCAATACCAACATAGAGGTAAGATATATTAATAATATAATAACATGCTATATGAGATTGTAACTATCTATATAAGGATGATAGATAAATTTAATGGGGATATACAAGCAGGAATTTCTTTTACATTAAAAATTAAAAACTTCTCTTCCATAGGTTCCAACTAGCCATGAAAGACTTAATTTGGATTTTGTGGCAAAGTTTCTGAATAGCATAACTGTACTAGTGGCTTGGTATAGAAAAACATTTAGTACATTTAAAAAAAGATTACAAATGCACAAAAAAGAATTACACTAAAAATTAATAAAGCATAAACTCCAAAGAAAGTACATGAAAAAATAAACCTCAGCAAAAAAAGAAAAGAAAATGTACCAGTTTTCAAAAAGATTTAACTTAAATTACTGAACTGTCTTTTATATTACTCATTAATAGTGATATTCATATATTGTATCATAGTGTAATTTTGTGTTCTTGCTTTATGACACTGGGTTCAAAGAAATGATCAGAAAAACTGGAAAAAGTCACTGATATTTTACTCAAGATATATAGGGGACCCAAGCAATAATAATGGGTTGAAATTATTACAGTGTTGATTTTATTTTTGTTTACTTTTTTTTTGTCATATGTTAGGGACTCCATAAAAACATCATGGACCCATTTGATGCATGAACAGTTCATAAAAATGTGTTTAAAAAGAAATATGCACCTTATGAGTAATTCTACAGTTAGATTTCTTTCCTGCAGGTGGTGAAAGTTGTTAAAAGTGTGAATAGACATATTGTTCTTATGATATTTAACTTTTTCTTACAAAAACCAAATACAAATAATTTACTGATGCATTTGGCACAATAAGCAAAGGAAAAAGAAGTAGAGTTGCTTAAATTCTAGAAAAGACTAACATTGTTTTTCCAGATGGCAAAATTGTGGTCAATGAACCTGAATCATAATAAAAGTAAGGGTTAGGTATTCACTGAAAGTTGCTTACTACTCCTGATAGATGAATATACATATTTAGTCATATGGTCTAATGGTTAGCATACTCAACTTGCAATTTGTGTGACTGAATCCTGTTACCAGATATGATCACCCTTTCAGCCATGGGAGTGTTGTAATATGACAGTCAATCCCACTGAGTTGGTAGGGGTGGTATTAACTAACTGACTCCCTCTAGTTTATCACTTCAAAATTAGGGGCCATCTTGGTACACAGCCATACCCTTTCTATAAGTGGAGAACAAGCTGTAGCTCCCCTAGGGTTTAGCTGAAAGCCCCTACATTCTAAAATATGTTTCATATATAGCTAAGTTTTATTCAAATGTATTGTTACGTCTCCGTGTGTTAATTAATTTTCCGTAACTTCGTTTCCAACGAAACTTAAGCGACACAAGTTCTTTACTTAATAAAACTGGTTTATTCTTTCCGAATACAACTTTACCGATACACTTATTCTCAACAGTCGCGTTATAACAAACTATAATAACGAACGAACGTTAACTACAACAATACGTCTATCTCTGACTGCAGTTCAATTACTCATTGACTCCACACACATTACATTACCTTCTTTTATATACCAGCGTACCCTATTTCTAGTAAGAACTTGAACATTCGCCACAGTACATGATAGTTCTAGAAACGTTGCGTCACGGCGGTCATGTGACTGCTGACGCAACAATATTTAT